TTGGATGGGTTTTGGTATGTATAAGCATTTTGGCTTGAGGTTGGGTATATATAGCTCTATCAGACTTTCAAGATTCATCTTCTGTGGTTATATTTCATAAACAAACATACCAGAATCGCCCTAAACTTTGAAAACATCTAACCCTAACCCCGAAACCCCTAAACCTCAAATACATCTCGAAGAGGCCTCAGGCGTTTTGTACAACATAGTACATTTTGTTCTCGATTATAGCATCTTCTAGTTTTTTAAGTATATTCAAGTATGCTATAGTATATGATAGTATACCACAGTATACTATCGTATACTATAGTGTACTATAGTGTACTATAGTGTACTATAGTATGCTATAGTATACTGTGGTATACTATAGTATACTATAGTATACCATGGTATAAGTATAGCATAGTATTAGTAGGGGTTGCCTTGGCAATATATGAACCAAGTTCAGGCGCCGAGCCCGGAGCCGGCCATAGCCTCAACGAGCTCTTTCGACGACATGCCGATGCGCACCAGGTAGCTTGGTTGAGGGTTTAGGGTTTAGGATTTAGGGTTTGGGCTTTAGGGTTTAGGGTTTGGAGTTTAGGGCTCAGGGTTTGGGGTCAGGGTTCAGGGTTTAGGGTTGAGGGTTTGAAGGCTCTCGCTTCGAAGGAAGCCGTGTATGTAGGGCCAGATTCGGATGTTCTCCAGGATTGCAAAGGCCTCCGTTGAGCTTTTGCTATTGAGTGGAGCTGCAAAAGCTGGCCAAACTTGCGTCTGTCTAAGGCCGAGCTGAGAATTCGACCGTTCGGTCCTGCTACAGACAGCTTCTGCAAAGCCTGCAGGTGCTAAGGCTTCTGCTGTCCTCATCTTTATGTGACATGCGATGTCCCAAAGCAATCATAACATACAGGCATTCCTACGTACGTACACACATACATACTGATACTCTATCACGTTCTTGTATTACATCGTGTTCAGACATCTTTGTATATCGTGCCGCACGGATCCTAAGCTGCCACCTCCAAGGAGCAGAAGATCTTTCCAGAGGACACACCATCATGTATTGGGGGGCTAGGGCAGAGGGTCTAGAGATTCGGGGGTTTAAGGTTCAGGGGTTTAGGGTTCAAGGTTTAGGGGGCATACCTCCAAGATTGAGTCACAGTTGGGTCTCGAATGTGATAGGCTGCTGGGTTCTTGACTAGCTTGAACCTTTCAGCCGAGCAAAAAAAAAGTCCTCACAGGAGATCAATGCCGCTGTCCAGGACATGTGCGTAACCGGGTCTCGAAGAGGCCCTCCGGTCAGCAGCTTGAACTTTCGGTTTTGGGGATCATGTTACTATAGAAGCCCAAATAATTACCTATACTATTTTGGGGGTTCCTTATGAGCTCCGTGTGCATATTGCATTTTGTAGTTTGGTAATCTTCGCTCTTCGGAGTCTAGCTGCTGGCTGCTGGCCCTTGTGCATGCCCCTGCCCAGTTGTGAAGCCGCGGCGGCTGAAGCCTCCTTCCTTGGTGAAGACCTTGCAGATGTCGTCGAAAATGGTTCATCTGCCGATGCACGGGATGCACGGGATGTTTCCGTTCCGGCATACCCCGGCAGTGGTGGAGGAGGACCGCGGGTGAGACTCGAAAGGGACAGAAATTCATTTCAGGGCTTCGGCTTTTGGTCGCTTGTCAGCACTGCTGCCCCATGCAGCCCGCATCTTGTGTAGCTGGCGCTATGACTCGGAGCCACGTAATAAAGACCACAACGACATTGAATTCCCTGGATCAGAACCCATGCGAGCTGGACTCAAGAAGGATTCCGTCTAGTGACGTTTTCTTGCGAGGAGCATGCAAGGTTTCTGATTCTCACAGAGACCTGAACCGAGGGGCTTGGATCCGTGACAGTGAATCACGCAGCACCATTGAGTTTAGACAGAGCCAGAACTGCCGAAACGTTAAAGCTCACACGGCCTGCAACGCTTTCGCCCTGGAGCCCTCGACTTGCCAGGAGGAAGAGGAGGAGCCGGAGGTGCAGAACGAGCATGCGAAACCTCGGCAGGTCCCATGCATTCGAAGTTGTTGTGGTTTAGGGTTTAGGGTGTGTTGGGGCTTGCCGAAGCCCTTCATCCTGGATTTGGGTGTTTTCCGTACGTCAGATCGTACCGGCCTCAGGTACGTAGATTTCTTTTGCATTCAGCTCTGCAGATATTCCGCCCGCTCCCAAAACTCAGAGGTTTTGTGACAAGACCTCTCCTAGGTAGTATATCCCCAAAAATCCCCTTAGTCCTAACTCCCAAATTCTTAAACCCTACACCCTGAATCCGAAACCCCCAGGTGCTCCGCAGACCGGACAAGAAGGTCGAGGTTCAGAAGATCGCGGCGAACATCAAGAGGAAGGCAGGCTGTTTGGGGGTTTAGGGCTTAGGGTGGGTTTCATGTAGGGATCTTAATAATTAAAATTTGGTTTGGGGGTATATTATACCATGATTACATTAAGGAACCCCCCAAAATAGTATAGGCAATTATTTAGGCTTCTATATTAATGTCACGGGCTTGTCTTCGTTTTCACATCGTGTAGGTTTGGGTCTTACCCTTGTACTCTCAATGCCAGAACCCTTATAGACCCCTTTTTTTAAGGAGCCCTTCACAAAGGAGCCCGACTCTAATTCTTAGGCCCCCCTTATTAAATCGTCTACCTTCGTAGTTTCGGAGGAGCCATGCCCTGCCCCGACGTCAAGCCAGGGCACGCCCAGAGACTCCAAAACCCCCTCGAGCTAAGAAAGTATACCTGAAAGTCACAAAACAGATCCCTCTATAGTTGACGGTATATTCCTTTATTTCAGGAAATCAACAAGGATCCCTCTTTAGTTTTAGGTATATTCCTTAATGAAGGAAATGCACTTGACATCACAATAAGGATCCCTCTATGTTTAAGGTATATAATTACAGGCATACACCCGAAGTCGCAACAGGGATCCCTCTGTAGTTTAAGGTGTGTTTTCCTTACCTAAGGAAATACAATATATTCCTCAATTAAGGGGTGTTGGAGTGTCTGGGTAGCCAGCCTCCACTCTGGAGCCGCGTCCCTGAAGCCATTCAGCTGATGCAGGCACCGATCTAATTGAGTCGAAGTTCTGTAGGTCATTGACCACGAGGGAGCAGTACCCTGCATATGTTGGCATCTTTATTTTTGGATGTTTTTGCTTCGTTTGACCAGGAGGCCAAGGAATTGCAGTTGGGCGAGCCGTTTCTGAACCGCCTTTCGGCTTTGCAGAGGCCAACGTCAGTGTGCAGATGTTCGAACTCACCTGTTGTGTCTGCAGAGGCGATTTTGTGTTTTCTCGTTCCCCAATTTTCCCATAACCCTAAACCCTCGACCCTAAACCCTCAACCCTAAACCCTCGACCCTAAACCCTCAACCCTAAACTAAACCCTCAACCCTAAAGCCTAA